GTTATTAACGTGTGAAATGGAGTGATAGGATGAGTTGTCAATTATTTATTGGGGATGGAGATTATATTAGCCACATCAACAACTCTCATTAGATAGCATATAAAACGAGGTAGTTTTATTACAGGGGCAAAAGAGTCATTTAACTTTTCCATCAACAGCAATGGACCGGAAAAACCTTCTCTGTCCTAAAACTTAACCAACTTCATACTTGAGGGGGGTTATTTGTTGTTGAGGAGGGTTAGTTGCACTTGGGGTGTAGTTGAGGGGGGTTTAATGCACTTTACCCTAAAATTTATTTTTTACTAATAATTACTCCAACATAATTTAGAAAATGAAATACGATTGGTGTAATGATTGTTATATGATATATGCTACTAATTCACTGCTTTTTCGTTACAATTATATTTTTGTTCTATATGAAAAATTATCATTGTGCATTAATTGTGACCATGTGTGTAATGCTAATATTTTTTAGGGGGGTAAAATCATAGAAGCCCCCTGTACCATAAAAAATATACATATAACCCCAACATAATCAGTTATAATTCACTACTTTTTCTCAAGCATTGTTTTTAGGGGGGTAATATTTTTTTGGATAGAAACTGACTCTTGTCTTGATTGATTTGGGGCTTGTTCGTTTGTTTGATGTACTTAAATACTTAAATGCATACATACATATAAGTATACAAACAAGGAGCCATACATAGACTAGGCAAATCAAGACCTTCAAGCATCCGGACTTGGTGAAAGTAAGGTCCTAACATACATCTAATCCTAGGCTCCTAGCATGCATCTAAAACAAAGAAACTAAACCAAGACATTATACATCTAAAGAAAGCTATTTCTACACAAACACTCGTATATGCATCTAAGTTAAACTATCATGCTTGGACAGTAAATATGAAGGAGTTTAAGGATTAGTGATACTGACATAAGATTTTACGAGGTTCGGTAGAACTACCAACATCCTCGCCTCTAGCTTTTACTCGATTATTTGAAATCTAAGCTTTATTGGAGGCTGAAGCTCCTTCTTGAAGACAATGAACAGAGCCTCTTCACTTTGAGGGTCAGTGATAACCTCTTTTACATCAATGCTGAGAGCAAGCCTTCCTCCTCTAGCACAATGGCTGAGATTTGGCCACACTCCTCTCACATGAAGGTTGAGAGTAAGCCTATCTCCTCTCACATCGATTTGGCCACACTCCTCTCACATGAAGGTTGAGAGTAAGCCTATCTCCTCTCACATCAAGGTTGAGAGTAAGCCTAAGCCTATCTCCTATCACATGAAGGTTGAGAGTAAGCCTTTCTCCTCTCACATAAGGGTCGAGAGTAGGCGACACTCCTCTCACATGAAGGCTGAGAGTAAGCCTATACTCCTCTCACACAAAGGCCGAGAGTGAGCCTTGGTGTACAAAGATTTGTTTCTCAATAGATTGAATCGTACATTTTTTTTTCCAATTACATAAGAGTTAAATTGAGAAATATTCACCAACAGGCCTAGCGGTACCTAGCCCCTACTTCTCAAATAGAGGTCAGGGGTTCGAGCCTCAGTGGAGGCATGTGTGTGAGTAAACTAGGAAAAAAAAAATCAAGAAATATTCAAATGAAAGCTCGACTGTAGGATTTGAAAAACCACTATGAAGAATATGTATGATGAAGCTCAATAGTGGTGCTACCCATGAAAAGGTATGAAATTGAAAGCTCATGCTAGCTTTTATCAAAGAAGAATGAAGAAATGAATGCTCATTGGTAGAATCTTCAAACAAAGATATATAGAGATGTATTGTTCTAACACTCTTGTTGATATATGTAAGTGGGAGCATGATTGTCCTCACTTTATTCAATATGAATCACACACCTTCCACAAATCTCTCTATATGAATGTATATTTTTGTACTTCAGAGAGTCGTTGGAAGATCAACACAAGGTGTATTTATAGCCCCATTCAAAGATATAGCCGTTAGGCACAAATGGGTTGCTTTGGGACTGTTGAATTAGCCGTTTGAATTTTGGGCTTAGTGCATGAACACTCGACTTGCTCATAGAGCTGTTGACATGTTTGGCTAGAGCAGTTTACTGATTGAAGTTGAAGGTTGACTTGGACATTTATCCTTTGAGTGTTAAATCTCTTTGGACACTCGAGGTAAACTAATCAAGGGAATCAGACTCAAAAATCAACTTTTGGTCATCTCTACTTTTTGAATGAGTCGATTGACATATCGTCAAGGTCAATTGGGGTTTGAAAACCTCGAGCAAGAGATGCCACTGGAATGTTCAAGTCGACTTAGGCTCATTGACCATGATATATATAACTCTTTAGAGTTCAATCAAGGCATAAGTCCATTCCAACTTTCTTTAGGACTTTAAAGGACGTATATGATAAACTCAAGTCCTAATCCTTTCGAGTCTTAAGTTCATTATCATGTTTTAAGAATCAAATTGATCCAAGGTCCTTGAATCATCTACTTGTGAATATTGACTATAAAAGATATTCCAATTTGGAGATCATCTCAATATCACTTAAGGCTTTTGAAGAAAGAATCATTTAATTCCAAAGCCTTTTTTAAAACCGAGATATCAATTCAAATGATATGACTTAGCTACATGGTCCTGGTTCATGTTTCCAACAGTGAGTTCTTCCAAAGCTGACAAAATCTTGAACCAACTTAACTTGAGCAAAGGCCCCATGAAGAATGAGAAGAGATTCATGGCCAATTGCTTGTGGTCCTGGGGACATGCAAATGATATGAATGATGTGCATGGTCCTGGGATGTGATGTGATAGCCCAGTGGTAAGGCATGTGTTGCTTGTGGCCAAAGGCCCAGGTTCGAATCCCCACTCCATCAGTCAGTATAAGTAAATAACTATTTAATTAAATTATTTAAATGCTTTTCTAATATATTTTACTTATCAAATAAAAAAGTGAGATATTTCAAGATTAACTTTACTAGAAATTTAATCACTCACCCAAGCCTATCTACCACATATCTTGATCTTCAATGATGTTAATGGGTTGACTTGTTCATGTCCTGCTCATATTGACTCATTGATTTCCGCTTAAGAGGTCCTTTACCTACGTCTTTAATATCTTTGAGCTTTAAATCTTTAAGTTTTGGATCCTTCTTGGTCTTTGCCACTGATCTATCATCCGGCACCATATAGTTCAACAGTGCCTTCAGGCCTGAACTCCCGAACTAGTACTTAGTGAAGCTTGTAAACAGACCTTTACTATAACATAGTCAAGTCCGTTTCAGACCTGGTATCCAGACCTGACAAAGCTATCCGGACCTGAACTTATCTAAGCCAAGCACCAAAATGTTTTCCCGACCATTCCAAACCTTCTTGTTTCTTTTGAGTATGAAAAAGAAGACTTTGATCCTGGCCCCTTTAACTCATCTTGAGTTTTCACACATGTCTAACCTGCATAGCACAAACTCAAGTAGGTATTAAATACGAACACCTTCAATGATTTGTTATCATTAAAATGTTCGTAGGTAAGAAACATTTAGGTCAACAATATATATACATATCTATATCCCAAAATTTGTTATTTTGATCTGTCCATGTTTTTTTTTTTTTTTTGTTTTTTTGGATAAGTAAGAATGTATTGAAGAGCGCTCAATAGGGGAATGCATCCCAAAGCGAGAAAAGCCAAAAGGCCCTAAGAACTTAAACAGGCCAAAAACTCAACTATGTATCAAAAATCTATTCCATGCTTCGTGATGTCGGACAAGAGCAGCCTTGAATAGTTGAAAAAAAATCAGTGTTTATTGGTTGAAAATTCAAATAACAGGACTGTGATTCAAGATGTGTTAGTTGAGATAAAGGATTTTAAAATAACAAAAGCCTATTGGAATCACACCAACATGTCTAGGACTCTAGGCATCACACCTAGAGAAGGCCTCACACCTTCATATTTTGTGAATCACTTACAAAGAAATTTCACAAGATATTTTATTCATTCATTCCCTACCTCACCAAACTTACATCCTATCCTTCTTATAGCATTCTGGGAGTGTAACTCGTGATTTTTGAATTACCCTATAATTGAGGTAATCAATACTTGACTCTTGGATTACCTCATAATTGAGGCATTCAATACTTGACTCTTGGATTACCCCATAATTGAGGTAATCAATACTAAATAGCATAATAAAAGTACATAAAAGTTATCCAAAACTCCCAATTTAAAACTCCACATCATCTAGCATATGCCAAATAAAGGCTTGAGCCTTAGAACCCTTCTTTTTGCACCTTTTATACAGTTTTAAAGATTGTTACCATTGATCTCCATCACTTCATGTGCTTCAATATTCAAAAACAATAATAGACAACAATATGGACTGTCGAAATCATTTAATATTATAATGAAAAAGGCAATTACCCTGGCAGTTGGTCCGTCTGTGCAGACTGTGCAGCGCTCGGAGGGTGCACAAAGTGGTTGTTTCATAAGTATCCTCACTCTTGAATCTTGAAACTCCCAATTTAAAACTCCATCTGGACTCCACATCATCTAGCATATACCAAATCAAGGTTTGAGCCCTAGAACCCTTCTTTTTGCGCCTTTTACACACTTTTTAAGATTGTTGCCATTGATCTCCATCTCGTGTGCTTCAAGATTCAAAAACAATAATAAACTACAATATAAGGCTGTCAAAATCATTTAATATTATTATGAAAAAAGGCCATTACCCTAGTGTTGGTCCATCTGTGCAGAGTGTGTAGTACTCGGAGGGTGCCTTGATATATACATAACTTGGCATTATTTGCACAAAGTGGTTGTTTCATACTCAACTAGTATCCTCACTCTTGAATCTCGAAGATTTGCAGTTGCACTAAGCTCTAGTTAACTTTTGTAATTAATTAAATAACTAAAGGAATAAAATTATAATAAATTGATAAAAAATTTAAGAAATGATGAATATCTGCATTTGTTAAATTATAATTTTCAGGATATGAATAGATGATATTTTACTTTTACCTACTGCTTCTGTTTACAGGAACAAAAAGACCTTCAAATGAAAGCAGACATGGCTAAGAGAATGATGGAGCGTGGGTATCGGGTGAAGGTATCTTCTTCTCCTTCTCTCAGAAGATTATCTGAGAATTGATGTTGTCTGCACTTCTTTCCCGTGCTGCTCATCGTACCATAAATTGCTGGCATGATGATGTTTCCATTGAGTGACATGAAATTTGTCAACCTTTCCGTTAAATGATGAAATTTAAGTGAAAATTTTGTAGTGCTAGGAGCAGAGCAGACCCCCCCTCTTGTATTTCTTTCACTGTAACTAAACAACTAAAATGTACACATCCATACCTCTGCATGCGGAGTGGCTGATTTGAGGTTTATATCGGTTACATAATTAGTGGTTTACTTTTTGTTGAGAATGAAATTTGGCACCTGAATTGTTATATAGAGCAAAAACATGTGCATTTCTTTGCTTCAAAGACACAAGCAGAGTGGTATGTGATGTTTATAGATGTTCTCCTTTATTGGGTTTTGCCTCGTGTATATGTGCATCTTGTGATGTGTTTCTGTTTTTATTTATTTATTTATTTTGTTTTATTTCTGCAATCTTGTGTACTAAAATATTTGTTTGTGTCCTTATTTTCCTTCAATTTTGTATACTAATTTTTTTAACTTTCTTAAACAGTGTACGGCCATGGGTACGAACATGGGTACACCCAAGGATGAAAAAGAAGCAGCAGCTCAGAGGGAGGCCTTGGCAGTGTTGCTATCTCGTATTTCAACTCTGGTATAACCGTCTACTTTCCATTCTTCTCATAGCCTTTTCCGATGCATTACTGAATTTCCTTCCTTTGTCTCCACTCTTTTCCTCATGCAGATTGAAGATTTTTCTATTGTAGACACTGGACCTCAGGTGGAGAAAAAGCAAGCATATCTCATTGCCAGACATGTCAAGTTCGGACCATCAAAGAAAGGTTCAGGAAAGAAAGCTTCCAAAGATAGGGCCACAAGTGATGTGGTTCAAGAGTCCAATGAGAGTCCTCTACAGTTTGAAGAAAATTCGGATACTGCGGACTCTAGCCTGGAAAGTGAGGATGACTCTGATTTTGAACAATTAGAAACAGAGTATGAAGAAGTTCCAGCTTCCCCATTCGTGGCTTCACAAGCGACTGAGAATCGGTACAAGAGTGGACCAAGTAACAGATCCCCACCTAGAACACCAATGGATTTTAGAGGCCCAGGTTTACAAGAAGCACCTCTCTCCCCTAAATTTGATTCTACAACAACAGATGAAGTTCCATCTTCCCCATTCGTGGCTCGACAAGGGACTGAGAATCGATACAAGAGTGGACCAAGTAACAGATCCCCACCTAGAACACCAATGGATTTTAGAGGCCCTGGTGTACAAGAAGCACCTATCTCCCCTAAATTTGATTCTACAACAACAGATGAAGTTCCATCTTCCCCATTCGTGGCTCGACAAGGGACTGAGAATCGATACAAGAGTGGACCAAGTAGCAGATCCCCACCTAGAACACCAATGGATTTTAGAGGCCCAAGTTTACAAGAAGCACCTATTTCGCCTAAATTTGATTCTACAACAACAGATGAAGTTCCAGCTCCCTCCTTTGTGGCTGGACAAGTGATGGAGAATCGATACAAGAGTGGACCAAGTAACAGGTCCCCACCTAGAACACCAATGGATTTTAGAGGCCCAGGTGTACAAGAAGCACCTATTTCCCCTAAATTTAATTCTACAACAACACATGAGGTTCCATCTTCCCCATTCGTGGCTCAACAACCGACTGAGAATCGGTACAAGAGTGGACCAAGTAACAGGTCCCTACCTAGAACACCAATGGATTTCAGAGGCCCAAGTGTACAAGAAGCACCTATTTCCCCTAAATTTAATTCTACAACACATGAAGTTCCATCTTCCCCATTCGTGGCTCGACAACCGACTGAGAATCGATACAAGAGTGGACCAAGTAACGGATCCCCACCTAGAACACCAATGGATTTTAGGGGCCCAGGTGTGAGAGACTCAGTCAGGTCAGAACCCCAATTATCTAACCAACCAAGGCAACCAAAATTTGATCTAAATTTCCCGTCCCCGACGAGAGAACCAATGGATTTTAGGGGTCTGAGAGATTCAGTGAGGTCAGAACCCGAATTATCTAACCAACAAAGGCAACCAAAATTTGGTCTAAATTTCCCGCCACCGACAAGAGAAGCCAAGCGAGTTGAAACTGATGCTTCCTTATTTAGCAACTTGAAATCTCCTGCTGAAGAGATTCCAAAGCAAGAAGCTTTGCATCCTAGTGCTCCCAGTTCTCCTAAAAGTTACGGGATTTTTAGCTCTCCAAAAGCTAGTGATAAGTGATACTCCTCGGCAACCAGGTGCACCAGCTGAAGTTAAGAGGTACAAGTGAGGAAATCCGTTCGGTTAGCGCATGATGGATCATTGTTATTCGTAGATGGTATACTAATCATTGTTGAATATCCCTCCTATTTGTTTTTTTATCATTGTGATTTTTAGGGGGCCGTATTTGGCCCTTGGGTAGCTTTTGCAGATGCCCATTTCCCAATCTTACTTGCTCAATATATATGTATCATAGAACGTTTTTTTGTAGTATGAACTGAATATTATTGGGACGAGTCTGATTACCAAGGCATTAGCTCTGGTTGGGCTCTAACGATGGTGTAACTTGGGTATTGGTATAACTCATATCATATTCTTATTGTTCTTATATTTGAATATGAGTAATGATACTATGTCCGACGCAAAGGGCCGAAAAATAGTCCGGAGTCTGATCATGGCACTGCCACGTTGTTGTTTTTATTTTGTTTTCTACTCTTAGCGTCCATCAGATATATCTCAAAACAGGGTTTCCAATTCAATTTTTAGGGTTTGTATGTTTTCTTCCAGATCTTTTAATTAGACCATCAATATTGAAATTCTCTTCTCTATCTCAATCTATTGGCTGCCTGTCTCATTGGTAAATTATCAAACCCATTGGAGAAGAGAATTATACATTTTCGTCTCATGATTATCTCCTCTTCTTCTAACAGGAAACGAGGGTTTTAGAGAGAGAGGTGAAGACAGAGAGGCATAAATAGTCGATTAATTAGGGTTTCCAATCTATTTCTTCAGGACCTCAGCTCTATTTTTCGGGGTTTTTTTTATACCTTTTCTTCGTAGATCTTCAGTCATACAATCAAATTATAGTTCTCCTCTCCCTTGCAATCTCTTGTAATCTCACTATCTATCTTCAGTAATATATCAAACGCATTCAATTTGATGTAGTTCTGAAAAAAGAGCATTAAATCAATTTTGTCAGAAGATTAGAGACACAGATATAGATTGAGACACAGGCAGAAACAGAGAGGGAAGTAAATTTTGTCAGAAAGATTAAAGATATTGATAGAAATTGACATGGTCAGAAACAGAGACAGATAGGTATGAACAACAAGAGAGGAATAAACAAGGCAATGATGTGGCATTGCCAGAAGGAATTCGGACAACTTGTTGGCCATTTGGGACGTGGCATTGTTAGATGGAATTCGGTTTAACTTGTCGGACATTTGGATCGACAGAATATCATTACTCTTTGAATATATATATTGAATACGGTGGCTTTGGGTAATGTTTGAATTTAATTTGCTGCACCCTGCTCAAAGTAGCTTTGGGTCAAGAAAAAATAACAAACAAAGAGCACCCTAATGGGGCTAAAATAATTGTTCTGTTTCTTTTACAACTAGAATCTCTCTCTCATTTAACATACTTTTTTACACGAAATCTGGTCAGTAAGAACGAAAAATAAATCCCAAGTTAAAAATAAAGAAAAAAAATATACTTTTTTTACCAAAAATTAAAAAGAAAAGGTGCTACCCCAGTTGGGTGCTCACTATTTTAGTGCCTTTTCTAAATAAATTCATTTTACCGTGGAGTAAGTTATTGTCATTTAAAATATTAAAAGAATCCAAACCTTTTTTTGGGAAAAAAAAAAAAAAAAAAAAGTCTTGACAAATAGCATATTCTATTTAGTTTTGAGTAATGCTACTACGACGTCTCCCCCACGAAATTTTTCATGAGCTCTTTTTCTTTTTTTTATCATGATTATGTACAAATATTGAGGCATGAATTTACCAGTTTGAAAGAGGACTAAACGAGTATTATATAGTTAAAATTTCGTTCAAAAATTCATTTATAGTCGATGACATGAGTCGGTCAAAATTAACAATGTAATTTAGACATGGAAATAGTGTAAAATTTTGACCGACTCGTTTGAACTATTGTTAATGAATTTTGAAAGAAATTTTAACTATATAATTCTCTTTTAGTCCTCTTTCTCGTTTAGTCCTCTTTCAAGCAGTTTTGTTCGTGCCTTCTAAACACGACAAAAAAGAGGGAAACTCATGTGAAAAAGTATGCTTATTATTAGCTGAGAAAAATAAAAGAGAGTAGACTTAAGTGGTATGTGAAAAAGTTTACAATATTCCAAAGGTACTGTACCCTCAGAACCTCTTAGCCATTGAATTATTCATCAGGTAGACCCCATCATCACATCCAAGTTATCCAACAGTAGAGAAATTCGGGGGTATGGTACCCCTGAGGTATTGTAGAATTTTTTGTGGTATAAAGAAAGTCTACAATACCCCAGAGGTACCGTACCCTTGGGCAGGGGCGGCTCAATATAATTTGAGACTTTAGGCAAAAAAATTAAAATGGTCTTCTAATAGAGTCTACCCATATGTTTATGCTAGTAATATGCTCATTATTTATTTTATGATTTTTAAGTGTAGTTCTAAAGAATTTTCAATCTATAGTTCTATGGTTAGTTAATTGACTATGTACTTTCTAGAAGACATATTCAACAATATAAATAAAAATGATAACAACTCACAAACAAAATAAATAATTTTATGAGAACAAAATTTAATAAAACTATAAATTAATTGAAGGTATAGAACAACAAAACTGACTTCGAAGAATTTGGTCCAATACTCCAAAACCATACAAAATCCTATTTTGTGTCTTTTTAATAGGTACCTAAACCAGTTTACTTCGAAGAATTTATTCAATCTACTATCCTCACTTGGCGTCTTTTTAATAGGTACATAAACCAGTACAAAATCCTCCTTCCAATTTGGTAACAACTTCTGGAATTTTCCAAAAAGATGTTCTGTAGATCCGGCACCTCTGCTAAACCATCATGGCGTTATAGTGATATTTATTTACCACATCCTCACGAATGCCAAAACATTAACAACCACCATTATCATGACATTGTAATCAGATACGTATCCAGACCTAGTGCCAAATACATTAAACTAATCGTACTACATTATTTGACTCGTAGTGACGATTTACTATCCCATCCCAAATAACATACCAAAATGATGCATGTCCAGGTCCAATAGATTGGCTAGAATTATGTATATCTACGAAATCCTATGACCACATGCTCACAATCCTACCGTAAAATATAGAGTTATTACTCCACGGTGTAAAAATAGTAGTTGGCTAATCGCATACCTGCGTCACCAACTAAAATACATCTAAAATCCTGAATACCAAATAAATAAATAAATAAATAAATAAATATATATATATATATACTTTTAATTTGTATGATATATATATATATATATATATATATATATATATATATATATATATATCATACAAATTAAAAGTAATATACTCATACTTAAGACAACATTCCTTTTAAGGAAAATCACCTCCTTACTTTTCTCCTCTTTGAGAATATGAAGTCGTGTTGGTTCCGATATGCGGTGACCTATCACACACACTTAAATCTTTCATTGGCTTTATACTTTAAAGTAGCGTCAATCGGAACTAAACATTCAATCCCTAATTATGCTGTCTGGCAAAAAAATCGATAACATACTCCTTTACTTTTTTTGGGTCTTCATCGCCTTCGACTTAAACCCCATCTTCTTCCTAATGTCAATCATTATGTGATTACAGAATATAATTGACATCAATTCCTCCTAACGAACCGTAAATAGAGTACAATGAATCCTATTATGGGCTCTAAGTATTAAGAGATGCAACGTGAAAGTCATATAACGAAAGACACTCCTAAGGACACTTGAGCCTGGAGTGCTCTGATACCCCTAGATTTCAGAATGCGGGTTGACCAGGCCTACGCCCAAATATCAGGAAATATCAAAAACAAATCGACAATAAACGAACACAGAATACAAAAGGATAAATAAGTATAGGTAAAATGCTGAAAAGAAAACTAAAATGATAATACAATATTATTAAATCCTTAGAATATATTTCCATTAAATAATAAATCTTCTGATACATCTAATCTTCCAAAATACAACTCTAGAATCCATACCGTGTAGACCCCTAGAAAATCCAAAACTGATAAACAATAGTAACAACTAACTACATCTAAATACTGAAATATAAAGTAATATCATATGTAGAAGATCCGGAATAATGATGATGACTAGCCTCTGCTCTGCACGATTTTCATAGACCTGAAAAATAAATAGTGGGTCAGGCCCACATACAAGTTCTTTCTACTACATCTAATAGAGACCTAATGAACGAATACATCCTAGTCAACTCATGCAATAGCTAAATAGTCCGTATAAATATAGATACACACTAAAGGAACCTCACTGGACTATAGGGTTGCCTCAACCTGAATAGTAGGCAACATGCAAAACGCACATATAGTGAGCATGAGTACCTAGACCTACCAGGTCACACAACTATCTACTATATCCAGCTCACATCCCAAGCAATATACACTCCCTAACCACTAATCCTGAGACTCAAGCTCATATCATGGCATATATACATACTTATATAATCTATCCTATCCAAAAGCACAAAAAGTAAACAATCTAACCATATTATTTCAATGGCATGCCATCTAACTATTCCGTTGACCTGACACGAATAAGTAGGACTTAACTCTATGATTAATTTGTTCCCTTATAAATATAAATAAGTAGGACTTAACATTTTTAGTTAATCCATCTCTAATATGCCCCCATCCCATAATGGTGGATTAATTCATAATATAACCAAACAAAAGTTTTGATATCCATACAATCTAATCATATTAATATATTATCAAGGAGCATAGCTATTAGCTACCTCCATGGTCACATCCCATACAAATATTAATCTCATTCACAAAATATAAATTAGAGATAGATTAAATACCACAACAAAAAACAATGTTTATAGATCATAAGGACATCCGTTCATATAATTAAATCATAATTAATAATATGAATTTAATTAAATACATATAACAATATCCCAAAAATGATTTACAATTTAATAATTAAATAAAATCATTTATTAATCCAATTATGTGCATTAAAATAAATACCACATTAATACCAATTTAAACATTATTTTTATTTTCTACTAAAGTAGTAAAACCAACCAACTACTAACTAGTGTCCAAAAGTGGTTATATTAATTAATCACATAACACGTTGCACGTTATATTAATATTCATGCTAAAGTACCAATACATCATTATCCTATTGGTCCACTAATTAGTGTCCAAAAGTAGTTATATTAATTAATCTCATAACACGTTACACGTTATTATCCTATTGATTATAACAGTTTTAGGATAAAATACCAACAAATTAATATAATGTACGATATAATTTTACCAATACATAACAATACATCGTTATCCAAATACCCAATCATCACTTAACCAAAAATCAATTACTACT